CGTTGTAGACCCATAAAGGAGCTAACCGGAATCAATGTCGGGACAGTTTATGGGGTCATGTCGGACCGTTGAAAAAGGCTAACCGGAATCAAATGTAGGGACAGTTTATAGGGTCATGTCGGACCGTTGGTGAAGTTGCATCCTCAAAAGGGGTGCCCAATTTTATCAAAAGGCGTGCCATCAAAAGGCGTGCCCAATTTATCAAAAGGTGTGCCGGACATGATGGCGAGGCACGTGGGGCGCCTTGGCTTGCGTGCCCGTTTTGTCGTCTAGTGGCAAGAGGCGCGCGATGCGCGTGGCTGCCTCGGCTCTCGCCATCTTGGCTTGGATGATCCATCTAAAATAAGGCTTACATCTCATAACTGCTACTCCCAGCAACCTAAAGCCCAGCCAATTAAGTATCGAGGAGTGGAACATCTATCAGACATGCCGGTCCACTACAATCAGGTTGTTCAATATATTAGTGTCACCCTGATCTACACCTAAGACTTTTTGTTTTACTTCTTCCAATTAGAATAACTACGGTGTTCTGATGGCTGATTTCCCCCCTTTCTAGACAGACTTCTGATATTCCGTACTACAAGGTATTGGATATCCCTCTACTAGAACTGCAAGGCCTGAAAACTCTAAAAGTTGCTTTCCATCATGCTACAAAGGATGAAGTGAGTGTCAAATTGTAGCAGTTATTTCTTTCTTCTTAAACAAAGCCTAAATATTTATGTTGAATCTCTCATGTTCTTTAAATATGAAAGAAATATCAAGAGATATTTTTTTGACATTTTGTCAAAAATATCTCAAGTTTTTTGTGGAAGGAAAAGGTGCTAGAATGGCGGAGCATATTTTTTAGGTCAGTTTTTTTGGGATAAATAGGACCCAAAATCTCTGTCAAGCATTCACGGCAAGAAATTAGTCTTTTAGACACTAATATTTAAGAATTAATTAAATTTAATTGTTAAAAATAATTTTTTAAAAATAAATTTAAATATATAATAATTTACTTATAAAATTGTAAAAATAATTATTAATATTCTTATATAATATTTACGTACTTTTTTTTAGACCAATAAATATATTATTAACATTTTAAGATCAAATATATTCGTCATTATCAATTAAAAATGAAGCCAAATATTTTACTATCATTTTAACAGTTAAAAAGTCGAGACCTCACTTCACTTCAGCCCTAGCTTGCTCATTCTCTCTTTGCTACAAGGCTTCCAAGGTCAATCTACTCATTCTTCAGTTAAAAAGTCGGGAGCTCCAAGGCAGATTGGGAGCTCAATCTTCTTCAAATTTTGGCGCGTCTCTCTCTTTCTCCCCGTAATCGAACTGTAAGAGCTCCAATTCGAACTTTCAACTTATTATTTCATAGATTGAACTTTTTTTGTGTGTATATATATATATATATATATTAATGCGTGTTGGAATTGAAGAATTCTTTACATAGATAATATTGAACTTGTTTGTGTGTATATATGTATGCCTAATCTAATGCGTGCTGGAGATGAAGAATTGTTTTCTCGCACAGTTCGATCAATACTGTATTTCATATGCTGTTAATTTGTTGTTTCAGTGAGTTTTCAGGTGTTACACACTATCATTTTCTTTTTTAGATTTTCAATTTCTGATTATTACGTGGA